ACCCAGTGCCCCACGTGGTTTCCTTACTTGGGCTGCTGCCTTTCCCCAGACTGCTCTCCCCTAAGATGGGGATGTTGAGAGGATGATACAGCAAGTGCTGTGAGCTTATTCCAGATGAAAGTTCCCTAGCTATCAATGCATTTGTGCCAGAAAGAGCCACAACTATCAGTCAGCAGGGAAGTATGCTTTTGCCAACGAAGGGCTGAGAAACACTGTGCCCATAAACATTTCCCAAGCTCTTTCCACTCATCCCAGAATCATTTCTGTGAAGTAGAGGGCATAAGACACAGCAACATTTAGAAGACCAGGGCTAGTGAAGGAGTGTCCTTGGGGACGCTCTACCTGGGAGAAAAACACTGGGCAGAGGGAGAAGCCACCTTCACTGCCTTGCAACCCCACCAAGGATGGAATGAGACTATAGCGAGGATAAGAGCAGGTCCTGCCAGGACCCCAGGTGCTCATCTGTGTGGCCTTGTGTGTGTGTGTGTGTGTGTGTGTCTGTCTTTGTTCTGAATGGGGAAGGCATTTCTTTTTGTTCTTTCTTCTCTTACCTGCATTATCACTCTTCAGCTCTAATTTCTCAATTCCTCACTTCACAGTTACTGTCCCAGCCCCAGTCTTATTGTTTAATACTTTCCTATAAGGGCTTGTATCTTTTTCCAATTATCTATGTAAGTCAGGAGTTTAACTTTTAGGGTGTTTTATGGTTTAGATCTAAAATCTCATGTGTGTAGAAAGTGACTGGATCATGGGGGCACTATACTCATCAATAGATTGATCCATTTTGAATTGAGTATCTATGCTGTTAGGAGTTGAGGTCTGGTTAGAGTGCATCACTGAGGGTGTGACATGAAAGAGTCTACTTTTGTCCCTACTCTTCCCTTCTGTTTTCTGACTACCATAGAATGAGCAGCTTTCCTCCACCATGCTGTCACTACCTGGAGCTAGCCAACTATGGATGAATCCTCTAAAATCTGTGAGCCAAAGTAACTTCTCTTCCCTAAAGTTGTAAGTGTATTTTGTCCCAGCAAAAATGTGACTAACTCTTGGGCCTATCAACAATAATAGAGGTTCACACATACTTCATAAATGTTTGGGAGGTTCAGAGGCCATCTGAATCCCATCAGTGGACCTCCAGATACATCGGGGGTAAGGACATCAGCATGCAGCAGACTTGGTACAGAGGAGCCGCCTTGAGTCCATTTGTTCACTGAGACAACTAAAACCAGTGATCCATGGTATGTGGGATTCCGAGAATAAATGCAAAAGGAAATCACATTAAGAAATTAAAGAATTGATTAAGTGATTTAGCAACCAGGAGGTAGTGCATACTTAAAAGGTTACTGAATGGTTCAAAGTAGTTACTAGTTGATTCAATTCTTAGCAATTAATTAACATCAGAACACAAATTTAGTCCCTCAATTTCAGATACCATAAAGTAAGCAGAGAGCAATATTGTAAAATGCTGTCTCTCGGGCCTAGCATTTCAACTAAGCGAGCGAGACTTATGTTTGGTAACAGAGGTCTCAGACACCTCAGTGGACAGCTTGCATCTGTTCATAGTGTACTAGAGGTTAATAAGACCACTCTTGGGCAAATGCAGGGAGCAAGTTGAAGTTTACATTGTTGTTGACTTGGCTCTAGGGCTTTTAATGAATATGGTTCTAATAGGTATTTACAGATACTCCTCATTTAATAGCCTACCTGCTTGATGATTGTTCAGACTTACACCCAAGGTGCACTGTTTGGATTTACTACGTGCCACTTGGATTTACAACCTAACCTCTGTGTGTGTGTGTGTGTGTGTGTGTGTGTGTGTATACGCGTGCACATGCACACCGTTCTGTTCATCTTGCTTATAGAGCATCACAGTCTTTTCAGTACCACCTATCTTGTTTATACAGTAATTTTTGCTGAATTGTACTGTACTATATGGTAATGTTATATTCTGTTATACATTACAGTTTTGCATGTAAGCGTTATATGATAAAAACAAAATCATCAAGTTGGAGTTTCCTATTTCTTCATTCTGAATATTTTAATGTATATACTATATATAATTCCTTATTTAACAACCTAGTCACAGGAACTTAACTTGATCATTAAATGGAGAATTAATCAATGATTTAGGAAAAGCAGTTGATATTTGATGCTGTCGCATTCTAAAATTATAAAGAATGAAAAACTAAAACTTTGGTTGGCTCTATAGACAAAACTATAGCAGTGTATTAAAATTTTGTTCTGTTACTCTATTTATTCATCTTATACCAATGCATGCATCATCTATCATATATGCAGAGTGTGTGTGTGTGTGTGTGTGTGTGTGTGTTTAGGTGGACTCAAAAATTAGTAATAAAATCTTTTTTCCTCCAGGTACTTAGTATTTAGTGATGAGGCTAAAAAATAACATAAATAGTGTCAAAGTAGAATGAGAGTTCTGCATAGTTATGTAAGTTAGTGGATGCCATACAGAAAACATATCCATTCAATCCATGCTGCAGATTCTTCAGAGGGAGGCTGTGTATGGCAGAACACACTGGCCCCAGTCTCAGAAAGGTTTGATGCCAGTCCTATGAGATCTTGGCCAAGGACTAGATGTCTCTAACCCAAATGAATGGGCTTAGCCAAGCCACCAGTGCAGCTTCTCCTGGCCCTGTGATTCCAATACTATAGGTCCTACCTTGAGAGGAACCTGTCTCTGACTAGAATGCTGACTCTTTCTGATTGACTGGTGACAGGTACATGGTACAGGTTTTAACTTCAGTGCTGCATCTTCTTATGTGCTTAGCCGCCTGTTGGTGATGTCAGCTAGTTGTCTGACTTACATCATTGAAACATCAGAAGAAATATTAGTCACAAGAGGGGACAGATGGATCCCTATCAGTGTGCCTCCACTTCTCCCAAGATCTCTCACAGCCAGCGTGCTATTACTATACCCAAGTGTGAAGTGCATTTGAGTTGCAGTCAGGAAGTAAAGCCCTTTGATAGATCCAAGTGGATCTGCATGAAAGCTAGGCAGTTGCCATATCCCTTACATTTCCATTTTGCTAAAGTAAAACTGAAAAGTAAAATCATACATATAATACCCACAATTTCATAAATATGTATGACACTTTGACCCTTTATCAGAGAAAACAAATGAGATGTTTGTTCCCTGTTGCATTTGATTGACAAAACAGAGTTGCAGGAAGTCTGTACATTTCAACAAATATTTGTGCTCTGCTCCTTTTTATTTCTTTTTTTGTGCCCTGCTTCTAGTCATTCCCACCACATAAGTGGGTTTTACCCTAAGCCAACAGGTCTAGATGTGTCCTGGAAGAAGACAAGAACATTATTTTGAACAAAATGAGAACACATTTTGCAGAAAAATATCAGGAACTCTTTTCTGTGTAGAAGTAAGTCCTGGTAACAAAGGCCAGGGCAGGGAAGCAGAAGTACTCTCTGCAGAACTCAGCAGCCAGGCTCTGTGCCATGTTTTCTGAAGGCCCCATGCCAGTGGCTGGGACTAGCTTGGGTATATTACTGGAAAATAACCCTCTACCTACCTCCACCAACATGTATGAAAACAGTTATCAACCTACTCTCCGTAACACAGATTGAGCTTTCCAATAAAAATGTATGAATTAACTGAATTTGAAGCATGAGAAGGTACAATTAAGTTGATTATTTAAGTCCAGTACCTTTCTGTGTAGAATTCTATATAAGGAGAGAAACATTGTTTCCTATTTCTCACATGTAAGTTCTCCTACTGTGAAGTGAACCATGAAAAAATGGTTCCTGTGATACAAGAAATAGAAGGGGAGAAAGAAAGCTGTCAAAAGTGCGTGCAGCACATACTCCAGGCCCAGCCTTACTGCAGTGCCTCAGCTCTCTCACCTGAGCCCACTCTCATGTTCCTTCATGCTATTTCTCTTATTCTTGCTTAATTTTTACTAGTCAAATTCATCCTACTTAAAAAGAGACCAGCTTTAAAATACTAGTTCATTTAAAATGCAAAACCAAATATTTTACAAGTACAGCTATTAATGTTCTACCACTTTATTCATCACACACTTAGTCCCAAACACAGCCGCATTTAAGTTTACATTTAAATATGAAGAGAGAAGTTTGATCGATAATAATAGCTGCCATTCATGGTATACTGAAATTATTCTCAGAGTAATTTGCATCTCTTACCTTATTTGCACAACAGCTCTCAAAGGTCAGGTACAGATAGTAGGGTCACTCACTGATCAAAAATGGAGAGATTGAGTAAAGTGTATGAACTAGTAGAGCCAGGATTAAAATTCATATCAGTTCAGCTTCCAAGGATAAACTGTAATTTCCTCCACAATACTTTATATATGTACTAATCAAGAGTTTATGGATTGAAAGTTTATCCAAAGCTTTTCTTCAGCTTGTCCAACCCCCAGGTCTCAACATTTCTTGACAACTACATCATAGAAGTCACCAGTTCACAAGGCCCCACTGTGACCAGTTGGTACAGAGCAATCTTTTCTTTTCTGGTTTCATTTATAGCATGGAAAAGAGCAGTTGGAATAGTCTTTGGGTAAGCTAGGCAGTGCCAAGTGAGTTGACTCTGCTGAGAATTATTGGGTGAAATGTAGATCCCTTTGTTAGTACCTACTCTCCAGCAATAGAAGATGGATCATAAAGAACTGAAGGTGGGGGCTGGGGATTTAGCTCAGCGACATAGGCACCTGCCTTGCAAGCAGGCAGTCGTGAGTTCAATCCCCCGTACCGATAAAAAGGAAAAAAAAAAAAAAACGTGAAAAAAAAAAAGAACTGAAGGTGGTGTCCTCTGAGGAGACATGGAGAGACCAGCTCCCATTTAACTGGGATATATGCCCCAGTCATTAAGGCAGCTCTCACTGAGCGAGTATGATATCCCCAGCATAAGTGCAGGGGCCTTCTCTTATCTCCTGCCCTGATTTTGTGAACCTATTCTTCAGAAACTGGGAATGTTAGGCTCTAATGTTAAGTTTCTCTTCCCTCCACAGGCATGAATGCTTTACAATTACAGAATCTGGCAACACTGGCTGCTGCTGCAGCTGCAGCCCAGACCTCAGCCACCAGCACCAATGCAAACCCTCTCTCCACCACAAGCAGCGCCCTGGGAGCCCTCACGAGTCCCGGTGAGTAGAAGGTGTTGTTGCTCTTACCTGCAGAAGGTGCAGCATGAGTAACACAATCCATGCACCCACATGCAAGGAGTGAAGTTAGATGTATCTAACCACAGAGCCAAATAACTTGCAGTGGGCATCTGGGTTATGACATTTCTTAGTTTCCTGGAGGAACGAAAGGTGAATGTGTTTTACTTTCTAAGGATAAAATGAGAAAAGTTTTCAGGGAGGGACTCCACTATGCTAGTGATCCCCATATGTTAGTTTTGTTTTTTAAAACGTCTCCATTGTCCATTCAGTCCTCCTTAAGTTGTCTGTCACTGTGAAGAATGTCAGTCTCCTTTAATCCTGCTTTTCTGTCCTATCTTGCCCACCAAAAAAAGAAAGAGTTAAAATTTCAAAATCCTTAATCATTCTAATGTTGAATTTCACAGTAGGTCCATCCTTGACCTCTGATTTAAAATCCATGATTAGCAAGGAATTTGTTGTTCACTTAGAGTCAGCTTCTGGACTATGTAATTCAAACTCTTTCTTCCTCAGAAATTTTATAACTTTATTCAAAAGCAGATGTCATTTTTTTCTTTCACACAATTTAGATATACATAGTTGCTTAGATACTGTGACTTATTTTCTTTTAAAAAATGAAAAGGCAGACTATTTCACTGGTTTGTCATCTTTGACTTTTCTAGAACTTGATAGATGATCTCATCTTCTTTGTTACATGAAAGAATTAGTGAGGATGATTCCAAGTTTCCTTCTAACTTTATTTAAAGTCCCATGACCCACTGTCAGTTGTGTTCCAATGGTTAGCTAAGTGTTGACAAACTGAATGTGATACTTCATGGTTTTCGTTCAGAAAAATACAGAATAAAAGCTACAGCACAGGGGCTGGGGATTTAGCTCAGCAGCATAAGTACCTGCCTTGCAAGCAGGCCATCGTGAGTTCAGTCCCCGGTACTGATAAAAGGAAAAAAAAAAATAAAAGCTACAGCACACTAAAGCTGAGCTTTCTGAAGACTTTAGGGAACAGTCAGACATGTTCCTTAAACCCAAGGCCCTCAACCTTAGTCTCTTTATTAATCACTATATATCTGAAACATTTCAGCCTCAGTGTAGTTTGGAGTGGGAAAAACACAGATATTTAGAAGTATATACTAGATTGTACAAAATCTCATAGCTATAGCACATATGTGTAGTGACTTCATTCCCTAAAATATTTTAAAAATTGACCATTACTATGTATAGGCCTCATTCTATATAATAAATAGTATTCTGAGAAATCACCTTTTAACTCATTTTTTCAAGAAATTAACCTATAGTTTTAATGCAAAATATTTAAATAAAACTTTTAATAACACCTTTTGAGAAATAAACAATTTAACCTAATTTTCCTTATAAAAACAAGTGATTTTCCTTAAAAACAAACTAAAAATGTGACCTCTGATTCATCTGCTTAATAAATTAAATTGCAGAATACTTTCTTAAATAGGACTTTCTTCTCCCATATGAGGACTATGAAATAATTACATTAAAATACTACAAAGTATGATGCATGAATTTTTCTGTATTTTTAGTCAGAAGACTTGTCAGTTTAAGAAGCCCGTGCAAAAGCAAATGAACCTTATCCATGCAGATAATGCAACTCAATAAATAATATTTATGAGGTGGTTGCACAGTATCAGGCACTGTCCTCATGCTGGAAAATGACAGTGAACAGGACAGAGATGCTATTTCTCTGAGTTTTTCAGACTCTCCGAAGTCAGATGATAAGGAGATAAGCGTATGATATGTGGTAGATAAGACTAGTAAGAGTGCTCAGACAGAAGGTGGCGAATTGAATGACTAAAGGATAGGACACCTGAGCAAAAACCCAAATTAAGCGAAGGAATCTATAAGAAGTCTTCAGAGAACAGAGCAGATACAGAGCAATGAGGCAAGAGAGAGCTTGGCATGGTGATCAACTAACAGACAACCATCATGTTGCACTGAGGGAGAAGAGAGAAGTGAAAGGTAAAGTCTGTGTCACTGGGCTCAAAGCCGTTCCATCCAGGATGATGAGGATCACAAATTTGTTGCAACCTTCTTAAAATGTGAGGAACTAGTCTAGGAGGGTGGCTTGAGTGTTTGCCAGAGGGAATTTTAAACATTTTGACCATTCCGCCCCTCCCCACCAGGCCACCGTGAAAGAGAAAAATGTATACGAAGATGTGTTTTCCTTCTTCCCGCCCTAGTCAAAACCATTACTAGCAACTTGTCTGTCCCCTTACTCTTAAAAGAGGCATTCTGCTCTTCAGTGGGTTTTGCTACCTCAGGTATCATGGAAAGTGATTTTTCTCTTCTATGTTAGAAATATTTTGTATAATGCTAGAAGTATTTCATTAAAATCCTGATCTGTTGCAGCAGAAACTATTTAAAAGTATGTTTCAATTAGTATTTTTAAGTGTAGCTAAAAATCTTGTTTAAGTACAAGTAAATTTGTCTATCAAGAACTTTTCCAAAGTCACACAAAGTATGGTTAGTAGAATTCATGACTCTTTGTCAGGGAAATTCCTTATGAGATGAAAAAAGTCAGAAGCCATTCCCAAGGCTAGTGCCATTAATTTTTTAATAAATCATAATAAACTGAGCTTGCTGTTGGTGCCATGAGCAACTCTAGTCACGCAGTAAAATGCATGGAGGCCTCATCTCCTCACCCCTCACAGGGATTGGGTTTACCCTATTAAATATGTTTAAGCTTCAGACAAATCTGTCTAGAAAGGGACAATTTAATCCCTCAAACTATTAATTTTTTTAATACTTACAAATTTCTCTTTTCAATTTTGCATACCCAGAAAAAGTCTCCCTACAGCATTACTATAAATGATTTTAAACAGTTTTGGCTTTAAAACATGAAAGATTAAGCTTTAATTTTTGTTTTAAAAAATCCCCTTAGGCAATAAATAGGTTCCTTTGTCTCATGGCCCTGAAATAAGAATTAAAATAGTTTAAATTGCCCATGGTTAGAATAAGTGTGTCATGCAATTATCAGATGGTAGGGAATAAAATTAGAAATTAAATTATGAAAGAATAAAAACCAGGTAAGTGCATATTACAACTTCTATGAGTTTCTCCTGGGTCTTTTGAAGCCTAATTTAATCATGTTTCTTGTCTTTTATTTTGATATGATAATTTTTGCTTTGTTTACTTCAGTCTCCTATTTAGTTAATTAATTCTTGAGTCATTTCTTCTTACCCAGATTTGAACTGTTTTTGAGGACCGGGTCTCTGTGTTTCAGAAGAGATGAATTGTAAGGTGTGTAGCTAGGAATTAAATGTAGCATCTTTCTCCCATCCCTCTTCTGCATGTGTTGTTTTGTCTAGTAATTTTGAAAGCTTGAGAAAAAGCATTACTGTTACCACATGTGAACCACTCTTTGGCATTTTCAGTCTAAAACCTAATCTTGCATTCATGTACCACATTATTTCACTGACCTTCTACTTTTTTTTCAAAAGAAAAGAGTGTTTTAAAATTTCCCAAACGCTTATGTAAGTGCAGACTCAGTCAAGTGCATACTTCAAGATAATGGATAATTTCTTTCAATAGTGTAAGGCATTTTAAAATAGTAGGAAGCATTATTCCATTTCCACCACAATCTTCAAAAAGTCTTCTCTTTTAAAATCTTCAAGGTGTCCCTACCTCTTTGAAGGCTGTGACACATACAGTTGCAAGGAAATGCTAAAGCCTCCTTATGGACTGTTTGAGGCTAACAGGTTGAAGGTGTTTTAGTGTGATACAGGGCTTTCCTGCCCTTCTCACATAGTAGTGACTGATGAATGAATTCTGTTCCTGTTGCACACCTGTGTCAACAGAGAAACAAGAATTCAGCTCTCATAGTTACTCTATAGCCATTCAATATGCATTTCGTCACTACAATAAGTATATCTGTACTTAGGTCACATGAGAGGTGATTGATAGGCTCACTGAAGTCACATGTTCCAGACTTTCAGTACGTGCTAGATAAGTACATAAAGGTGAGTTGTGCCCTATACTACCCACACTAGAGCAGTGACTCAGGTGAGGAGGATGATCAGGCCAGGAGAGCTGGACAGACAGAACATAGGGGGCGCGGTCTTACTAACTGTAATGTCGTGATACCTCAACCTCAGAAAGCCTAACAAGACTAAATTTTTCCACTAACCAGTTCATCCCACTCTCTTCCCATCTTGTTAAATGTCTCATTTCAGTCACTAAGAGAATTCAGTGACTTCTGCTTCACAGCTATCTGTGGTTCTCTAGGACACTAATCCTCATGCCAATTGTTTCTCCCTGTGAATGTCTCTTTGTCCTCCAGTTGACTGTTAGTCTGGACGAGGCACTTGTTTTTATATCCTTTGTGCTACTGGAAAACCCTCCAACTCAGCTACTCTCTGTGCACTGTCGGCAAAACAGAACAGCCCTGTTCAGACACGTATGCAATATCATTGAAAAATGCAGTGAATTTAAAATGGCTTGTAATTACAGTTATAGAGACACACAGCCATTAATCCACCTCAGAAGACTCTTTCTCACTTTGAACACACTCATTCTGTTTTTGTCATGTTCAGAAGCAGGTCTGGAAGTCTTTTGTGGGTCTCTTTAGTTGTGTTGTTATGAGTGCCTTGTTATCCTAAAATGATTCAAAACATCCACCTTTCATGCTTGTGTTGACTTTGAGGATGATTCAGAAATCATACTATGCCAGAAATTGTAATACAATAGTGAGTAAGGTGGATGACCACACAGCTTTTAAGAGCCTACCTTTTTATTAGATGGCATATAGCAATATACCCCATATTTTCGATCATGCCGCCTAAAAATACTCACAAAAGACAACTTCAGGAGCTATTCAGAAAGTGGCAAGAATGATGGAATCAATGTGTTTGAAGCAAAGGGGAGTATTTTGCAGGAGCTTAATGGTATTGTCTTTTACTGTAATAAAATTTTTTATTTAAACATTTACCATATATTTTGATCATGCCTTGTAATATTCAGCT